AATTGCGTAGTGCGAGATTCTTGAAAAAATTGTGCTTTATTTTTTTACAGTCTTCAGGTTGTGTCAGGCAATTCAGAATAGAGACTTTGAAGTTTTTGCAAATATTGCGATGAAAGAAAGTAACCAGATTCATGCCCTTTGTATGGATGCAACTCCCCCAATCAAGGTTCCTTACTGTTCCTTCATACAATTTTGCTTTGTAATTGATGCATTATATTTTTATTAGTTTTACTGTCTTCGACTGCCGATGACCAGACGGTGCAGCATTGTGTTCATTTGTCCCTTACCTGGTTACGTACGGCACAGGTTTCTTCTGAAGTTTGGGAAACATGAAAGTCCTTAACGGTTGTTCTAAATAACATTTTAATTAACCGTTAACTTTTATTTCTTCGTAGTCTAATTTGTTAATCTTTAGTACTTGGACGAACACTCTTGGCATCTAATTCGCTTAGTTCATTCAATTAATGAATTCATTGGTAAAACTAAATTAGCTTATTCATTTGATGCTGGCTCGAATTGTACGCTGTTTTTGGAAGAAGATTTTATACCGAAAACTCTTGCATTCCTAAAGAAATATTTTTGCCTGCCCGGTGAAATCATCGGTAAGGACTGCACTAGTTCTAGTCATTTATGCGTGAAATTAATGAGATCTTTTGAAATTACTATGCTATTTATGAATTTAACAATGCATTTGTTTATATTACTTCTACTGCATTTAGATCAAGTCCTTAAAAGTCCAGCGGGAATGGAAATTCCAGAACTTAAGAAACAGTTAGAAGACATGTCCGTGCAACTGGAACTGCCAAACATGCCGCAAATACATAATGCAATCAAGAATGTTTTCTTGAGCCATGTTGGAGCAGGACCACGAATACTGACCCCATAGATACTTTTCTTCCACTCCGGGACCAAACTGGTCATAACTGTTTCCTGTGAGGCCTGTGATAAATCTATGGTCTAAGAAGTCTTGATTAGGGTTTCTAACGTGGTTACTTTCACAGCTGTATTCCGCTTATATGCAAGACAAAACGAATGGTAATATTACTGTAAGCTGGAGCAGCAATTGTCAGCATTCTCTCTAAATCAGATAAAGAAATTTTCTTTTTTTAACCTTTTGGGAACTGGAGACTATTGCTTGTAATAATGAATTAAAAGAGCAGATTTGGCATATAAATTATTTTAATTTTAAAATTTATACTTTTAGGGTAAGATTTCACAGTTCATTAGATTGTCAGATCATTTAAATTATTTTTTTAAAAATACTTTTTAAAGCTCTGAGAAGGAAGGATCAAAATCGGAAACTATTGGATTTTGAAAATTTTTAACCTTGGATAATTCCATCTTCCCTTCCCCTTTTTTCATCTTACGATTGTGTCTGCAGTGTTTTGCTTTGTTAATTTAGGATAAAATGAATTTTACAAATTGCTTTTGTCTTTTTATTTTTTGGTGAACGTGCCGCGGTATTTTGGTGGGCAGGAGCGTGTTATTTGAACGGCGCTGTTTATTTACTTGGAAGCTGTATCTTATTAATTTTGTATTTGAAGGGCTTAAAGACGTGTCTCGAGTTGTCCCATCAGTCAAATGTTTACATATTGAGTTGGCAAATACATTTCAAAAACAGAATCTTTATACCATTTATATTTGTGCTTGGAATTGAACTTGCAAAAACTTAGTGCGAGATTTTGAGTGCTCAGATTAGATATTGGGTGCGAGATGGGACCATAGAGAGTTCTTATGTTACCTACAAAAACTTCCTCTTTATGCTTCATTTTGAAATAATTGCTATTGCGTCTTTTTACTGTCGTTGGGACGCTTTCTGCAGCCATAAAGCTAGAGTGAAGCTGGCAGTGGCCATCGATCCCTGATTTTTGGAGTTTTCAAAATCTCTAAGTTGCGCTGGAGAGGGACTCTTAAGTAGATAAATTTTTATTTTTTTAACTCTCCAGGATTTTGACCACGTATGTGGTGGAGTTTTACCGGAATGTAAAGAGGCTTATAAAAAGTATGGCGACTACTGATGAAGGTCGTGCACCCACTGCGGAATCACTAGCTCTTATAATTCAAGCAAGGGAATGGTTTATGTAGATACATCCTTAAATGTATCGTGTCTTTTGCAATTCGTGGCTGAGCCTGTAGGCGACTTCTAATGGATTTGAAGAGTTGCAGTTCCTGAATTTAAATGAAAAGTTAGGCTGCAAGGTTAAGAACTCCATATGGCGTACTGTTAGTGATTGACATTAGTTGTCCAATTTTTCTTTCAAGCAAGTGTTGCTATAGTTCACAAATCCTGCCGCTTCTGTAACTAACCTCTCACTGCACCACTTATTCAACTCGTTGCTTTAAAATTTCTGTAAATTTTATTTAACTTCTTAGAGACTGAAGTGAAAGTTGCCGCAATACCTCATTCAATAAATAGAAAATATTTCTATTCACATTCATAGCACCGTTCATTAGTGGATGAACCGTGAAATAGCTACTTTGCCAAATTAAATTAGACCATTTGTGACATTATGATTGAAAATATGGTGCGTTTTTCAAATTTCAGGACTCATATGCTAAACACATTGAAGCCATGGACTTTATGGAAAGGAATTGCCTTACGAAGAGTAGAAAAAAACTTTCTTGGTATATCTACTAGGTGGACTTGTCTCTCCACTGCACAATCGGCACCGTCAACGTCTAAGGAGGGGAGCAGTGTAGAAAGTATTTTGAAGAAGATTGATTTGGTTCCACTACGGCTCCATAAATATCTATTCGGGTCTGCAGTGGTACCAGAGAACGTCGTTGAAGACACATTTACGAGTTTAGAATTACCACAGTTGGAAGGGGATAATCTACAGGAGCACTTTTATAAAATTGGAGAGTCGCAAATGGCTGAAAATAGACGACTCCTTGAAATGGCTTTTCAGATGCCTACAGTACCAAAGATGCCAACACGATGGGAATTGAACGTTGGCTGGAGTAAATATGATGCTAGTACTGGTACATTTTCCCGAGTGAGCCAGTTTCTAAATATTTTCACTTTTTCCATCACTTTGATATGTCCTGAATGTTAATGGAATTGTATTACTTTTTCATTGCAGATCGATTTCCCTGACGAGGAAATCCTCTTTTTTGATGTCGAGGTATGCGTTCGTGATGGCCAATTGCCTACTTTAGCTGTAGCTCTTTCACCAACTTCATGGTTATTTTTTGAATAATTTTAAAATAGAAGCCATTATAATAGGAATGCTTTTTGTTGAAGAATTTAGAAATAAACCGCTCGTGCAATATCGAAATTTCTCGACATAAAGGTCCTGTCTTTTGTAGGTACTCTTGGTGCAGTGAGCGTTTGGTGAATAATACGCCTGTACCTTCACTTTATCAATTGCAGCATTTAATATCATTGGAATCTGCAAACGGTGAAGATCAAGTAAAGATTGTAATTGGTCACAATGTGGCCTACGACAGATCTCGTGTTCGAGAACAGTACTTGCGCGAGGTAAAAATCAAGAAGTGTCACGAGCTGCGATTTCTTTTGAATTATGAAACTTTTGAGGTTTTAAGCAGTTGTCCGCAACGTAGCAGTTATAAATATTTTTTCCACTGGTAAAAGATTGTAGAATATTTGCTTAATAAATAGAGGTTTTTGATTTCAAGGTTTCTCTGATATTATATCAGAATTTAAATAGGAGCTGCTGAAAGCTGTTTTTTTCTCCATTGAAGAAAGTAGTGGATAAGCGACTGAAATTGAAATTTGAAATTTTTCCTTTCTAAGCCGGGAGATCTGAATAGTTTCATCTCACAAAAACTGAAACGTATGCGGAAGAAATAGGCAGCGAAAACTGATGACTGCAGGTTTTTACCCTAAAAATCCATGAAGCTGTGCTTACTCAGAGAAAAGCTCTGAGATGAAGACTGCCTTGAAAGAACAGTAGGCTTGGCTAAAGAGCTTCTTTAGCGTAATAATTCATGGTCTTTTTAGTGTATTCACTTCAGGAAAGTAAAACACGCTTTTGGGACACAATGTCAATGGCAATCCCTATCTTTGGGATGGCAGACCATCAGGTAAAATTATATGAAAAGAACGATGTGGATGATGATGAAGACCAGGTCAGTTCGTTTCGCCATTTTAGTTTTTGCTGTTGATCTCTCATTTTGTTTTATACTCAGGAATGAAAGCAGCTAGTATGAAAGCCGGAGTTTTTATAAGATTTCTGAAGGGTTAGCAAAATATGTTTGTAAAATATTTGTAACAGTGAAGTTTAATATCATTTAGCATACGGGATGGTATGATGCGTGGAGAAGGCGCGTCTGCCGTAACTCGCTAGTAGCGCTGCACCAAAAACTTTGCAGTAGTTCGTCGGAACTGATGCTTGATAAATCGCTGCAAAACTTTTTTGTAAAGGAACCAATTGAGGAAATTCGTAATAACTTCCAGGTATTCAAACTGTTGATCCAGTTGACAGTAAGTTGCAGAATATTAAGACTTATAATTGTTCCATAACTCTATCGTGTTTGCCTTAATTGCCAAAATTTCTTTATTTACTTAGTTTATAGAGTCTTGTGCGGTACTGCGCTGCAGATGTGATAGCATGTATGGAAGTATATAAAGCATTATTTCCTGAATTTATTGCGAGGTAGCTTTCTTTATTTTCCTTGGCTTTATATACCGCTCTTTTTTTCGTAGAAGTTACGATGTAAATTAAGAGTACAAGGCGCTTGACCAAAATCAGACATATTCAGGTTTCCACACCCTACTACTTGGATGGGAATGATTGAGATGGGTAGTGTTTATTTACCAATAACTGATAACTGGAGAAAGTTTTATGGTAATTGTCAGAAGCGAGCTCTTAAACAGAATAATAGTGCTGCTCATGGTTTAATAAAGTCAGCAAAGCTACTAGCAGAAGAGCTGTCTGGAAATGAGAAGTGAGAGTAATAATTGCTTCTCAAGAGACTAGTTTGTTTGCGCATTATTCGTTTTTTTTTCTTCGACATTTCTTGAGTCGAGGTGTTTATTAGAGACTTTTTTCTGTTAAAATGCACCTTATTTTTTTATTTTTTTCTCTTTGGACGAGTTCAACTTCTCTATGCTTTGTTTGTACTTGCACTTATCCGTTTAACTTTAGGTTTAAGAATGATCCTTTTATGTGGCATGCGGATTGGAAACCAGGGAAGAATTTTCTTCCGTGGTGAGTTAATAATAGGCTTCTAACTCAGTAGCCGTTCCAATATTTGTTTCTAAAATGTTGCGTGCTTCAGTTTTTAGATCAAATGAGAAAGTAGCATTTCTTTTACAGCTGGTATGAGTCATTATTGAAAAATAAACACTTTTTGGATGTTCCTATCGAAAATCTGAAATCTGAAGATGTAAAGCTCAGATCACGTGTTATTCCGTTCATTTTTGGCTTATGTTATGCGATGTATCCACTCCATTATAAACTAGACAAAGGATTTGGATTTTTGATACCCAAAGGTTAGAAAGTCTTATAAGAGCATCTTCGGCGAGAAATGCTGCATTTTAGAATCATTTAAAAACGGTACCACTTTAGGTGACCACATAGTAAAGGTTAATGTTAGCTTTTTGTGGGGCTGACCAATAAGTTGTTTTTAGATGGGAATACCGATGAAGTGGCTTTGGAACGTAGTGAATTGCTGCTTAGGCGTGGGGGCACTGTAGAAGTACCCTACAAGTTGGTTTTTGTTTTTCTTGAGTTTCTATTTTGCGGACACTTAGTACGCGTGTTACTTCAGGGCTATAATGAAATTAATTCATGATAACATGATGGAGGGGTTCGGAGACGTCCTGGTAAAGCAGCCTGACTGTCAACTGGGACCATTCGACTTCTTTCGCTTGCCCCATCCAGTTAGTTGTTGTTTCCTTGTTAAATGTTAAAGTACTACCTTCAGAAATTTCTTGGTGCGGGGTGGTTTCCTTATGTGAACTAATGCTTTTTGTCCTTATAGGGCAGTTGATCTTCAAATCCTTTTACAGAGGGGTGCGGGTCTGAATGTCGGCGATCCGCTTGGAAAGGATTTTTATATTGATATCGAGGAAGGTCTTCTGCATCCCACTAGGTTCAAAGACGAGTTCTTCGCACTGCTGAGTGCAAAAAAGGCCACTCGTTTTTGGGGGAATTATAGGTTTATTTATTCAGCTTGAATTTTAAAGTTTTTATACTGCTAGCTTTTCTCAGTATTCACCACTTTGCTTCTTCTTTTTTTTTTCTTTTTGATAATTAGGTTTTAGAGATCGTATTGAAGAGCAGGTCTCAGTATGGCTTGATGATGATTTTAAGGAAGGCGCATTGGCTCCACCTGTAATACCAGCAGGTACTGTAACGAGGAGGGCTGTTCACAAGCTGTGGCTGACTGCCATAAATGCTAAGGTTTACTTTTTGAGAATTGGTTTCATAGTTGGTTCGGTGCCAGTTAAAAATTATTTAGAAAGTCTCCGTATGTTAAATTGCTTCTATTGTGCTGGTTCTTTGTGTTTAGGACGAAGGGTTGATCGGGACCGACTTAAAGTCAATGGTGGAATGTCCACAGGGATGGTGCTTGGTTGGAGCCGACGTCGATTCACAGGAACAGTGGATAGCAGCAATACTTGGTGATTCAGCTCTTGGATTTGGGATTGCTGGAGCCACGCCATTTAGCAACATGCTTCTTGCGGGAAGTAAATCAGACCATAGTGATTTGCATAGCGTTGTAGCAAAACAGGTCAACATTACGAGAGATAAAGCAAAGGTTATTTTTGCTTCTTTCTCTTACAGGTAGAAACAATGATGTTCTGCCTCTTGCCGACATAATTTAGCCGCCAACAGTGGAAGCCTTGATTTTTTGTTGATACTTGGTAGGACATATTCAAGGTCCTTAACTACGCAAGACTGTACGGATCGGGCACAGTGCATGCTATCGACTTTCTAAAGCAGTCAGGAATAAACGAATCAAAAGCGAAACAGATCACTCAAAAGTTGTTTGAAACTACAAAAGGGCGTCGTGACGGGCAAGTTACTCCTTGATTTTCGGTGCTGAACTAGTCTACGGTAGTTTAAAGAAATTTCTTTCCAGGTATTTCAAGTTGAGAAAGGGTCTTGAGAGCCTAATGCAAAAATTTCTGGAAAATTGCTCTCAAGACTCGAAAAAAAGTTGTATTTTTTTGAATGGGTCGTACTTCCTTCCTGATATTCAGTCTCCCAACGGGTAAGGTTCTGTTGCTGTTGATATTCAGTTTTTTTAATGTTAAAATTCCGTATATTTCGTGGTAATTCCCAACGACAAGTTTCGATATTGTTTTGATGTGCGAAACCTAATTCTTCAGGGATGCTATTTTATTTGAGGGCTGCGTTTGAAAGTGAGACTCGGGAGAGGGTTCTTAAGCTTTATTAGAAGAGCCTATAGTAGTAGAAATGTAGAAGGTTTTTCAGTACTTTATAACCACTTGGTCTAGGTGCTCCTCAGTCAAAACAAAAAGCTCTTTCAGTTCTTTCACTTCTAAATTTGAAAATTGGTTGATGAAAGAAGTCGGCGAAAAGTTGACGGACAGGAATGAAATTGACTTGGATCGTGACGTTTTTGCAATGCGTTTGTATGAAAATTATTCGGACCCTGTATATCTATATTCCGATGGCTTGTAAGTTTTTCCATATCACTTCCGCTGCTGAAGTTAACTTTTATGGAGACAAAGCTGCTTGGTGGGTTATGGAAATGTTTAGGGAGAATAGCTTTTTTTCAGTGAATCAGCGACTTTTAACTACTTAGAACTGATGCTGAGAAAACGACATCTTAGGACTCCAGTCCTTGACTGTCAACTAGGGTATGGACTTGAACCGTTGCCAGAAACAGCTCCGGATGCTAGCTATTTTCTCTCAAAATATAGACGGTCAATAGTCAATTGGGTGAGAGTTGCGTCTGGTTCTTCTTTATTCGCATATTATATCAGGACCAGAGAAGAGTTCTATCAGAGGATGCTCTACTTTTTCTGTCTCTCGAATGTTTGAGCGAACGTTTGGTCGCAAGACTGAATTACAGAAGGCTTCACAGAGTTGACGGGGTTTCCAGTTGCTAGAATATGACAGCATTTGCAAAAGTTTCACATAACTTAAAGTGGATT